GCTCTAATACAAATTTGATATGATCTCGCAGGCCAAATATAATTATATTGAGGACCAAATTTGGCCCCCAGGGCCTGAGTTTGACACGTCTGGTGTAGACAGACGAATAATAAAGTGTTACTCAAACATGTGTGAATGAAACAAAACACAGCTCCAGGTCTGTTTTGAAGAGATAATAAAATTATAACATGGCTTAAAGCTCACAAGAGTCAATTTTTGCGCAATTTAAGACAAGTTAAACATTGAAACTGAAATTTTAATGGACACAATTAGCAAACTGCAAAGGCAATTTTTTTTGAAGAACCATAATTTCCTCCACAAACAACAAACTATCCTGTCTTAACCTTGTAATTCAGATCTGTACAAACAGTACTTTTGTTTGTCAGTTTATATTTCAGTCTTTGTGACATTTCTTTTAATGTGAAACAGGTTTAAATACGTTTAAAATGTAAACTTTGAATAGAATCCAAGAATTAAAACAAACCACAACTCAAATTTAAATTACAATGCTTGTCAGAAAAATGTCCATTAGATATGTTCACCAATTCATTCAGCCTTATGTTGTTCCCTCATCAAAAACATACCTGGATCTGTATTTTGCTTAATCCTGTTTACCTGGCTGCCTTCTCTGAGAGCTCAGAAATCACAGTGTTTGAATTTTCCCTGGATTGTTACATCAGATCAAAAAAGCCCAAAAGTGTACTGTGCAGTTTTTTTTTTTTTTCGTCCATTAGAATAGCATTTGGCAAGGTGAATGACACGGCACCTGAAATAAACTTACATCTTACGTGAAATAAATGTGTCTTATATGGGCTCATTTCCAGACACTTTACAATTTTGTGCATTTTTCATTCACGGCACAGTAGGTGGTGGTAAGAAACTGTAACCAAAAGCGAAAAAGAATCTGTACCATCGGCCCCTTTGTCCACCACCAACACTCACACTCTCTCTCACCGCTTTTATACTAGGCGATGTGGATGAAGTGTCTTGCCTAAGGACATAACAACACTGTGGCACCCGGTATTCCCAGTCGTCTCCTGTCCAAGCACTGACCAAGTCCAGCCCTGCTTCACGTCTGAGATCTGAGGCTTTGGGAAGAAAGTTTGGTCTATCTATATGAGAACAGCTATGGTTCTTGGACTGCTACTACTGTGTACTTCTACTTGACAGTGTTGGGAAGTAAGTGAATATGTACCGAGAATACTTTAAATTTAACAACTGTTACTTTATCGTTTGGTGGTATTCAGATTTAGCCCGATTCATCAGCCGGTTTCACGTCGTAGAAACTGTCTGACCTCGCAGCATTAGATTTTTACTGCTATTTGCTCGTATATTAAGCTTTTCCCAAATCCCAAAGGAAGAAGGACAATAACGTCTTTCCTCTTGATAAAATTCACCAAACATTCTCTTTGTTCCGGCTTTAAATCCTCAATCTCGGGAATCGTTGCCAACACACAATGTAAGGCTCTTCGCTGATTGGCTGGTTGTCATGGTTCATGTTCTGTAGTTGTTGTTTTTGCTTATTTTGGTGTATTTATTCCTGTAGTGTAGTGTGCCTTTGGTGTTTTATTTTGACATTTGTCCTGTCTGCCTGTAGTTTGAGTTTTACTTTGTGTGTTTTGATTGATTGCTCTGCCCTAATGTGTTACACCTTCGTCTGTGTGCTTATACCCTGTGTTCTTCTCTGGCCTTGGTTGTTCCATTGTCTTTGTCAGTATCATGTCTGTTGTAGTTTCTATTTTTTGGATTTTTGGATTTGGTTTCTTAAGTTTTTTTGGATGTGTTACATTAAACAACTGAAGCAGTCCTGCATTTTGGGTCCTCCCTCTGTTTCTACCTGACACTGGTGCCTGGACTCGCACTTCCGGGGTTCTTGCAAACCGCCTAATGTAGTTCGATTCCTGACCTAGTCGCTGGAGAGAAATGAAATTGAGCGGAGGCACTAGGTGGCGCCAACCTTGCTCATTCAGAATAGAGTTACTTTTCTAAATTCATAGGAATACATTGTGGTGCTTGATCACACACTTTAGGCTTCAAATTGCTCGATATTGGAAAGAAAAATGTGTGATTTTTTTTTTCTACAATTAGTGATAAATAAATGCAAAACAATCAGTCAAACAGATATAAAGCTGTTTTTAATCCCACATTGAGTTTTTACTTTATAATTTAAATGTAACTTGATTTAAAAGTATTCTAAGTATTAAAAATACAGTACTCTGAATGGCCCATGTATTGAAATGTTACAAAATACATTTTAATGCAGGTATTTAGTATTCTAAGTAACTAAATACTGCATTTTAATAGTATTCATTCCATCACTGTACTTGAGCTGTATATTAAAAAATATATAATATAATAAATAGTACTTTTACTTGTGTACAACTTCAGTGTACAGCTTCACTAACCACCTCTGCTTCTTTCTGATAGAGGTTTGAATAGAAGTTCTTTTCCCTATTTCTCTTATTGATATTTTAAATGCCGCCTACGAGCGTTGTTTAGTGAGATAATCCTTAGCATATGAAAGAGGAACATCTCAGCAATAATCCATCTTGTACTTACTTACAGTTCAAATATTGCTGCGCTTTGTGGAAATGCTCAATAAAGTATTTCCCTAGGGGACTGTAGATTTAAAGAGCGTTTTTACAAGAAACAATCTCTGATCTCTGCACAAACTGAGGCCATATACCGCGTTAGCATAGAATGGGATAGAACAATGAAATCAGCTCGTATTAAAATGCACTGATGCTGTTTGTTTACATGTTAATTGGACCAAATGAATTGCTTGTTAATTAAAAACTGCATGTTGTGAGCAGAAGGCTGGTTTTTACTTCATACAGAAATGGGAGCTAAAAGCGAGGCACAAAAGCTTTCACCTGGAAACACAAACATTGTCCAATCTCCCCCTAAAGAGGTTTTATTAGTTCACTGAATCAACTCCACACATCTGTACGGCACATTTTTCTCCAATAGGACCATAACAACATCTCCACAAACCTGACTCTTATTTGTCCTGGAGGACCTCCTCCTGCTTGTTTCCATGGAAATGCTGTTTCTTTGGCTAGAATCTTCCACAGTCTGGCATAAAACTTATCTATCTCCATGGAGAATCTGCTGAAGTATGGTTTAAACGTTCTGTTTCAACGGAATCATCCAGAAAGTTACATACCATACTTTTTGAAAGACTGATTTGTTGAAATCTAATTCCAACCCAAAGATTAGGCAGAATTAAATCTCGAAAGACGCCCACTGCATTTTTTGTGTTTAAGATGTCACCAACATGAAAACATTTAAAGGGATAGTTCGGGTTTTTTGACATTAATCTGTATGGCATCCCCGTCAGCAGAGTTGTGCATCCACACTGACTTACCCACAACAGTGTCCGGCAGATACTGTCCGGTTTCGGTGCTGATGAAAGTAGTCCAGCAAGTTGGCTAGGGACATTAAAATAAAGTGTTTTTCTTCTCAAAAAAATATGTGTTCAAAAGAGTTATACATTTACATCACAAAACCTTTGTCCTCAAAAAAGTCAGACCTCGTAATCGCTTGGCTCTATTTTCTCTCTGTTTGTATCACTGCGCGCTTCCGCCAGGTGACAGCCGTGCACGGATCCATCACGTTCTTCAGTTGTTTGGCAGTGTTTACTTGCTCAGACCGCAGCGACGTGAGAGAACTAACATGAGAGCAAGAGCGATAAGTATATAAGCTTGTATAAGATACATAAGAATATAGTATATCTAAAAAATGGCGTCTCCGCATACATTATTTCCTGCCATAGACATTGCTCTGAGGCAACTTTGGCTTCTTGCCTTAGGCTTCAATGTGGAAACCAAAGATAAAAAAGCTTTGCGTGTGCAAAGCATGTTCGTATGTTCCTTCATGCCCAGGACAAAGGAAGAAATCTGTTTAGAAGCACTGCTGTACCTGCACCCAGGTAAGAATAAATAGGTGCTGTTATGTTTACAAGAGGACAGGCTCAAGAATCATCTGTAACTCTGTGTGCAGTAAATCACTCAGTGTCATATCACCAGTGAAGCTCCTACAAAACATAACTTTATAAGTCGACTGTTATTACTATTGTAAATGTCACTTACACTATTGTCAGCATCTACATGGACGTGTGGATGATTCCATGTTTCTATTAGTCGTCCATGCTTCAGTCACAGTGGAGGCTCTATGTTCACTGTATACCAGTTTCTAAATGACGTGATGGTGATTGTCGCTCACTCGGTCTCTCACGGCTCCAACTGCGGCTCCAGCTTCAACTTGTACCACTTCTCTGTCTCTCTTCTCTCTCTCTCTGCCCGTTCTAACTCCATCTGGCCAATTTCGGCATCAGTATAGTCGGGTTCATAAAGATGTCCCCTTGGCTTTGTGCTAAAGGCAAAGTCTTCATCGTCGGTGTCGTAATCAGACATGTCTGATTTTGATCTTGTAACATTCCAAGCAGTAAACAAAGTGAAACCTGGCAGCAGTGCGCAGTGATACGAACAGAGAGAAAATAGTGCCAAGTGATTATGAGGACAAAAGATTTGTGAGGTATCACTCTTTTGAACACATATTGTTTTGAGAAGAAAAACGTGTTATTTTAATGTCCCCAGCCAACTTGCCGGACTACTTTCTTCAGCACCAAAACTGGCCAGTATCTCAGCTCACCGGACGCTAACGGGGGTAAGTCAGTGTGGATGCATGACACTGCTGACGGGGATGCCACACAGATTCATGTGAAAAAACCCAAACTATTTAAACCAGGCTCTCCATTTTGCTGTTTTATATGTCCCAAATATGTAGTATTTTTTACACACAAAATGCCCTTTGGTTGGCTGGTGATAATGTTAAGTTAAAGAATATTTAATTAAACCACTTGATGAATGTAGATTTCATACAAGTCTCTACAAGTCAAGCCTCTGTGCTGAAGCAGTAGTAGTAGCTGTAGTAGTAGCAGTAGAAGTAGTAGTAGAAGTAGTAGTAGCTGTTGTAGTACAGTATATGAGTGCACTGACCTGGCCTCTGGAGGAGTGATGGCCATGTACATGTCCCACGTGTTGTCCTCAGGCACAGCGCCGTGAGGCACCAGCACACTCACTCCTGAAACACACAAGAACAAACTCTGTGAAGAAAGATACAAGAACACTGTGTGTAAGGAGATATATAAGGACACCGTGTGTAAAGAGAGATACAAGAACACTGAGTGTAAAGCGAGATAGATACAAGAACACTGTGTAAAGATATATTATAAGAATACCTTGAGTAAAGAGAGATACAAGAACACTGAGTGTAAAGAGAGATATAAGGACATAATCAGTCTGGTTGGTCTTGTTTTGAACAGTGGTGGAAGGTAAGCACTGTAAGCAAACTTTACATTTATGGTACATTTTTTGTGGATACCTTTTACTTGTGAGCAGGTATCTGTACTTTCTACTTAAATAGATTTTTGAACAGAACTGAAAAGTAAAAGTGTTTTTTATTATTATCTGAGACCTGTGAAAATCCTGAGGGGTTTATTTTTAACACATCTGTAGTCTGAGCAAACAGAAAATAGACAAAGAAAAGAAAAAGAGAAAAAGAAATCAGTTGTTTCTGTCTCAAATCTGTATCAAAATCACTACCTCTGAAACTTTAATACATCTCCAACTATGCAATAAAAAGAACCCCCTTTAAAATGTACTCAAGAAAAGTACAGATACCTAAACAAATATCTCTTTACTACTTTTACTTCGCTACCGTCCACCACTGCGTTTTACATTTGCATTTTTCAAAACTTCATAAATATGCTACAAGTTATTAAAATTCACAAGCAATAATAAAGCTAATGTCAAATATAGTACAACTTCAAAACGTACTTCAAACCTAAGCGGAATATCAGGCAACGCGGCGCCCTCTTTGTCATCATTTACTCGGACTTGCAGAATCTTCTCCAAACACGTCCAGAGTAATTTGTCACATCAGAATACGATTAGCTTTTTGCCCTTACATTTTCTTTGTAAAATATAAAAAAAATAAAATCAAAAACAGCAGGAGTTTGAAGTGGGACCTGTAGGATCAGAGAGATGCTGTGCTGGACTGAATTTGGATTGGCTCACCGCTGTGCTCGCTCTCATCACCCTGACCTCTACCCAACGCACCAAAGATGAAAACAAAAATACTGGCTTCCGTATGGGGCTGAAGCCAACTAAACAAATTCACGGTCGACTAAAGACACGTCCTGCCTGCCGGTTGATTTGTTGACTGAAAAGGGGGCGTGGCGACATTCCCTGGAGGTGTGATGCTAACTGTAGGCACTGCTCTGTCTGAGGGTTTATTACACTTTCATCTGAGCTTTATTTGAACACAATCTGACCAGAAAGAACGGACTTAGCTGGAACTACAACAAGCGAGCTGGTTTTGTGCCCTAACCCCTAAACAGGACTAAGCACACTTGTATTGATCACAGAGTCCTGACAGTGTGTTGTTTAAATCCATTTTGTATTCCTTAAAAACTTGTATGCAAAGTATCAATAGGTACAAAACAGGTAAAAAAAAAAAAAAGTAGCTCTGACCAAGACTCAGGATCAAGCTCAAGATCTGGAGCTGGGCCCCTGGGTGCTGTGCTGGACTGGCCAACTGGAGCACTGGGAGTTTTCCAGGTGGACTGGGACACTTTTGGGCCGGTGTCCTGTCGAAATGGCCTACTCGTCGATTTGCTCTAAAGCACATGCACACGACCGACAAGTGCTGTTACAGTTTAAATGCCTGTCAGTTTGAGCTCCCTGAGGCAGAAGTGGAGTTCAGTTCAACACTGGGGCCCAGTCAAGCAGAAGTAAACAGCAAGGCCAAAAATTCAGGTTAATGCATCTGACATAAAAATGTATTCAACAGATACATATGTACTCGAGTTTATGAAACTTGTGTTTGCAACATGGAACCAAAATTATTTCCCAAATTTCAAAGACCTGCAATTCATGTAAATAAATGGATGTATTTCATCATATTTTGTGTTAATCGATCTTTGAACTGTTGATGAAGGTACATGATTTTTCAATTTAAAATGATAAAAATTTGCTTGGAAGGACTGACATATTTTATAGAAATAGTTTCCTTTCATGTTGAAATAATATTAAAGTATTTGGAAGAAAAAAGTTGACAAATTATGTCACCTTCTACTTGTTTGCACAATTTTCCCTCCGTTACTTTTCCCTCCTGTTACCATGACCTTTCTTAATAAAAAATCTCATGACTCAAAAAGTAAGAGGTTTTTCAACCTAATCTTGTACCATATGGTAGAAAACTATATGAAGCAAATATTCAAACCAGTTTGTTAAGGATATGGAAGTGAGAACCATGAGTTATCACTGTTTGGATTTATTGCCCAAAAAGTGCTGCATATTTCATTCCCTCCGTTACCGACATGAGTTTTTACATTTTTTGTCAACAACTTGAAAGAATATCACAGGTTTAACTTGACCCTGTTGGAGTGTAACTCTTTCCTACATTCTGATACTTTACTTATTTCAATAGTCCCTCTTGTTTCTGAATAAGAGCTATTTGAATGTAAAAAAATCTGCCCGTTTCCCTCCGTTACCACTTGACTGGACCCACTGACGATGCAAGTAAGTAACATTTTAAAAGTGTGTTGGTTTTATTGTATGTTTTGACGAATTAAGCAAGCAAGCAACAACTTGTGCAGGTTAAAATTGCATTTTGAAGTTTGCAGAACAGTTTCTGAAGAATGAAGACATCACATCTATCAAGACACACTGTGCATGTGTATGTGTCCTTCTACATCACAGATGAGATAAATGTTCCTCCCTGGATTGTGTATGTATATTTTTGAAATAAATGTTTGTTATAATGTTTCTTCTGTTGTCCCTTTTCTGTCTCCATCCATCATGACTAAGAGACAACTCCATTGTTATTAGGGCTATAGAAATAACATGGAATTTTCCCATCTTCAATATCCCCAGTATAACAAGCATGAGGTGTGCGCTGTCTAGTGGATGCATTATTTTGGAAGCCTGTCAAGATTTGCTACCTCTACCCAAATTCATATGAATTGTGAATAATGGAGATTTTACAGTGGGAGCATTATTTGATGGCTAAATTGGCCTATTAATATGTGCTACCTTTATTCACAGCCCTATTTTATAGTGTAATATGACAGTCCAAATGAACTATGAATATTCATATAAAAGAGCTGAAATTGTACATAATTAAGGTATAAAGTATGATCACTGTGCCAACAGCATCAAACCTGTGTCTCTAAAAGAAATATGTTGTAAAACTGGGGAGGTCAGGCTTTATTGGATCTATACAGTACAACTGTAAACGGAAAAACGTATCTTATTTAGGTAGCTTATTTCGACAGAGTAGCGTGAATCAATAGATGTTACTGTTGATTTAGACTGCTGGTAGCTCATTGCAACAAGGCAGCCCATTTCGACAGAACACCAGTCACTGTCAGACCTGTGCAAAACCACGCCATGTCCTGATGTAGCGCTTTAGCTCCCCGCTGCTATTCAGCTTCAATGGCTGTTTAAACTCTAATCTGAGTTCACTGCGGCCCCACATACATGTGACCCCATGCACATGGGACCCCACACACATGTGCTCCTGACCCAGTCCTTATCAGCCAGGCCAGCCCAAAGCCAATAGGATGAGGCTGATGCAGGAGCGCCAGCCCCTTTCCCGAGCAGCAGCGCGCTCGGAACTACTGCTGGCAGTTCTTTCATCATTGTCTTCTAAGTTAGTCCCAGGAATTCTGCAGTTCCTATGGGGTCTGTCCATAGAGATCACACATGGAGACCTGGTGGTGCTCGCTCTGCAGGGCAGGTGAAGAGGTGATGTGTTGTGTGAGATGTTTGACCACAGCCTGGACAGGTGTCAATCCGACTGAGGTATGAGTTCAAGATCCTGAGCACAGCTGAGCCAGAGTGCACCTGGTGTCTCTGGGCAGCTTCAGTTCTTCACTGCTCTCTTTTGGGACAGGATCACCTGACTGTTGAGCCCAGACAGAGAGGGTATAGGCTGGGGCAGCTTGGTCCAAACAATGGACGGGTGCTCGACATGGAACCACCTCCCTGGACATCAGACCTGGGAGCAAAAGTCATCACTTTCCCACAGCCGCTGCAAGCCTCTACTGCTGTCAATAGAGTCTGTTTATTGAAATCACCTTGAAATTAAAGCATTTTCTGAAGTCTGGGATTGTTTTCAAGTCAAAAGACATTCTGCACCACTCAATCTTTACGCCTGTTTTTATTTCACATCAACAGACCACATGTTCACACAGTTCTGGTCATTTTTAGCTCCCTGAAAAAAAAGATACTCATTTGCATAAAAAAGCCTTTATCGTGGATGTGCACATCCTATTTCTTATGTGATTTCACAAAGCAGCTGTTCTCTTTAAACATGACAGAAAACATGAGCTCAGATGTCCTGACACAAGTGAGTGAAGCCTGTGGAGTGGTCACTTCAGACCACTGCTGTCTCTGTTCTGAGCTCCAGGGGCGTGCACAACAAAGATTAATAAATATACTATACTTTAATTGTAATCTCAAAATACTCCAACCTAGACATGGGAAAGGGTGGACCTTATGGCGAGTATCAGGGGTATAATATAGATCCATGTAGGTGTCCAGACCCTCTCCTCTAATTGCAGGATCAGCAGCAGCACCACATTAAAACTGTCCTTGGTCCTAGTCCTTGAACTCTTTTAAAAACAAACCCCCCATTCCTCCTCCTCCCTCTTCCTCCCTCCCTCCGTTCCCACACACACACACACACACACACACACACACTCTCACACCTGCCCCCCTCCCATCTCCTCCCCGCTCCTCCCGCCACACACACATACACACACACACACACACACACACACACATACACAGTCCAGCCAGGTCTCCGTCAGAGCAGAGGTCGGGGAGGTCAGATTTCACGCGCCGCACGGTAAACAAAAACCACAGGACCACCTCAGCGTGATGGAAAAGAGGGGACAGCGATGCAAAGTGACGAGGTACAAAGATGATTTATTTAAAGGGCCCATGTTACACTATTTTCTGATCTATAATATAATCTTAAAACCATCTGTATTTGATTAAATGTAAAGTAGAGCC